CCCCAAAACCCCAAAACCCCAAAACCCCAAAACCCCTGAATGGATAGAAAAAGCATATTTGAGAAGTTAAAAATTATAAATTAGAAGTGTATTTTTTATGATTAAGCTGTGAATATTTATAAATTTGCTAAAGTCAAATGGAATCATAGCACTAGCACAAGTAAAAAAATAACAACAAACTTGCGATTCCCATGTTGCAAACTGCTAATCCCACTTTAATTCTCAATAAGGTGAAATTCCAGAAGCGCAAATTAGATTCAGTCTAATCCCAGAGGTTCCTGATGGATCAGTGTCTGGAATCAGAAATTTCAAAGCATAATATCCAGAATTTGCTTGGGAATTCAAAAACCCCTTAAGCTAACAATCATCTTTAGCATGGAAATGCCAAGTAACTTGAGTAAATAAAACAGTCAGCTTTATAAAATAAATATATACCACAATGAAACAACGCTTTTGGCTGTCTCTCTTCCCGATCAATAAAGTCACCTCGCTCAAATATAGATCTTGAAAATGTCATAAGCCAATATCAACAGCATAATCAAAATGAGCATGTATCACAACATTATCTATAAAAAATTGAAAACCATAATAATCTTAACATAGCACCCAAGGCATCCTATAGACAAATTTAGATTGCTTAGACTTAGAAAGCCAACCTAAATGGCAAGCTAAGGAGACTCTTTGAGACTAAAACATAAAGCAATAACATTGAGAAAGAAAATACTGTTAAAGAGGGAAAATATCATTTAATTGTTAGCGAGCAGCCATAAGCTGAGGAGCATAGCTCAACCTAGATACTGCTTTCCAAAACTATAAATAACCAGAGTTAATATGATGGCTTAGATGACAAAAATGACTAGAATATGCAAAACAACTATGAGCAGAGCTAATGTGATGGGAACGATGAGATGAATTAGTAGGATCAATAGTAATAGTAAAATAATTAAGAAAAAGGTGTAAGTTCAAGAGCATCCAAAAGGAGAAGTGTGATGAAAAATCTAATTGTTAAAGTAGATCAATAGCAAGATTACAACTCTAGGGGTTCTAGCATGTACACGCCCGACACTAATGGCTATAACAGTGATATGCCCTTTATATAAGACATATGGATTAGACAAGCTTAAAAACCCTAAGAGAGCAAAGGTTAAACTTAGAGAGGGTAGCCTGATATCCAAATTTATGAGAACTATTAAATGAATGAAAATACTGATATATCCAATAGAAAGCGTAACGAAGAGTAAAATTTAAATGAAACTTTAAGGAATTATTAAAAAAGGCTAAACACTTCCAGCATGAAGTCATTTTCATTTGTAAAAATAGATAACTTTGACATTAAGAAGTTCATGAAGATCTAAGCAATTACTAAAGATTCTAGAAATATCAAAGTCAATAAGGGTATGGTAAAAAATAATACAGAGTTAGCAGGTGGCGCTGCAGATTATGTAGGATTGCATAAGAGACCCTAATTACTAATAAAAAAGTTCCCATTGAGATCAGTATCTAATAAAAACAACTAAGATTAGCTTGCAAGGACTGAGAGTCATGAGCCTCTTTACAAAGGACTATGTCTCACTTCGAGAGATAAGCATGATACAATAATGAACCTCGTAAAAAGCATAAATAGAGAAAATTACGAGTCAGCACCAAGGAGAGAATTTCAAAATCTTAATCTATATGAACAGCAATTTAACAAATTATAAAAGAGAGTTAGAGATCTTCGAACTTTAAGTCACGCAGAGACTAGAGGCAAGAGACGAATAAAGCATTTGGAATTAACCCCTAAATCAATACTAAGCCACAGAGAACTTAATAGAATAGAATAGTCAGTGATTCATTTGCCTTTCGAGAGCTCAGATACGCCTTTAAATCCAATACTCAATATTACAAAGCCAAGTATACTCAGTACTTTCGACTACTGTTTCAGTAATAGACTGCCGTTCATTGCACCAACTAAGAATGAAAATTAAAAAGAAGGAGCTGATCGGAAAGCAATACACATTCAAATTAACACAGGTGAGTGCTGCCAACATAGCAATGGCCAAAGTCCAGTAAGCAGCAACAAAAACTCACCCTTGCTGAATTAATCTAAAATCAAGCATTTTAATATAACTCTGGATCTACAAGCATGCCATGGTGCAAGCCAGTCTTTTACAAATAGAGGGAGTGGTGGTAACTCAGCAAAAAATAAAAGAGTTAATCCGCTAGAGCATGAAATAAGGAATAGGCTAGAGCTGATGCAAGTAAAGTCAACATTTGATGGGAAAATCTAGGGTAAAGCCTTACTTAATGCTGATCTATAAAATGTATGACTTTTTTCTAAATATGCTAAAATATATAGTGAAATAATATTATTTATCAAAGTTATCTATGATCCTAGAATTTGAATACATGGGGTTTTGGGGTTTTGGGG